TGTTACACTTTACTGTAAAAGATATAATCATATTAAAATTAGATAAATATTCTATTGTTTAATACAAGTGATAAGATAAAGATATTACCGCTATTAGGGAATTTATATAGGATAATGAGAACGAACTCATGATCTACACGTTAAATTTCATAAAAATTTGTTGAGATTTGTGTGGATAATATTAGTTTTTTTTTTAAAATTTTTATAACTACTAAACATACTCATAATCCAACAAGAAGTTTTTTGTCTTTTTTTTTAAAATCCACCAAGTAGACCCTACTTAAATGTGGTAAAATCCCCCCTTACAACCTTGGTGAGAATCGAACTCTGGTCTATTACCAGGAAGACAGTAACCTAACCATTAGACTGTCATTCAATTCCCAATCCAGCAAGAGGTTAAGTTATAATCAAACTCTAATTATAAGTCTATATATATATATATATTGTATATGGGAAATTATACAAACGGAATTTAGGTGTCTGGTGATCAATGCTCCGGCTGCTAACACCAGTTGCTACCAATAAGGGATCGCTCTACTTGCTGTTGTATCTCGGAATGTTGTTGCTCAGGCTGATACTTCCATGATAGTTGGTTCTTAAATTTTTATTTAATTTCTCACGTCATATATGCTCTAATTGTCAATTTAATCTTGGATTCTCAAGATTGCATTATACTTTGATCTTCCATTCTAATTTCAATTGGTACTATCATATGTTGATTTTAATTGAGTTTTTTTCTTCCATTTTTTTGGGTTTGGATTAGAGATTATATTTTTAATTAATACACATTTACATTTCTATTGTTTTACACTCCCAAAAAAACCTTAATTTAGTATACTTTATTTTTTTGGGGTTGAGGTTGATCTTTTTCTTTCTTTCTTTTGTCGTTTTTGTTTTGTTGATTAGGAGCTTTTGTTTTTTATCCTTTTGATTTTGGTATTTTAGATAGTTTTAAATGCAATGCATTCTTTTGACATTTTTCAAAGCAAAAGAAAAAAAATCTATGCTGAACAATTTTCTCAATATGTTAGAATCAGTTGCTCCCTTTTCTTGGATACAGTAAAAAGGACAAAATATTTCTACAACATGTTCAATGGCAACCTTTGTACCAATTATAATAGAGAGCTCCTAGGTACACCTTGCAATGTGTAACCTAGTTTGAAATTCACGCGCCCAAAAAGGGGGAGAAAAAAAAGGGAGATTTTCAACTCTTCAATTTCCGGATATTTCTCCTAATTTTCAGCCATCATTAATCATATCCAACTTCATATTCTAACCCAAAACGTCTCAAACAAAAAAAATTAAAAAAAAAACAAATATTCTCTGCGGCGATTTAGCATCAAAACCTCTCGTCGGCGGTATTTTTGAAAACGGAATCCAATTATGCATCAAATCCTGTGAGTATGGTTGCCATATACGCTGCTGAATATGAGAATTACGGTAAGATTTGAGATTATTCATTTGTTTTGTATTTTTTCCAGTGAATCTTGTTTGAGATTCTCAAAATCTTTCATGTAAAGAATCAGTTTTATGTGTTTACTCCATGGATCCAGTTATAAGAGTGGTTTTTTTTTTAATACCGAATCATCGATGTAGATAGCAACGATTGAGGATCCTGGTTCAAATAGAAGTAGTTCGGAAAATAAAGATGAAGGAAGTTAATACTATTAATCTATTCAACAATTGATGCATTTTTTGTATCTGTTTTGTTGATTTAATTTAGGGTATATGCATTCGATTATAGACCTTTGTTCATCAATTTTTAAGCTTTCTTCATCGTATTTACTGTGTTTGTGGAATATACTAATAGATCTGGGCGTTATTCATTAGTTCATATTCAATATTCATCCTTGAAATACATAGATCTAAGGTTCCTGGGTTCGTTTATAAATGGTTGTGCACCAACTTGTTAGATTTATTCATCCATTAGTTATTGAGTTTGAAGGGTTTTTCATTGTTTCACTAGTCATCAGTTACCCAACAATTATTCATCGATATTAAAGGGTTATTCATCATAATAATTGCGTTACGCGATTGTTATTCATTATTTTAGTTGTTGTTATTTATTATTTTAGTTGTTGTTCATCAACTACAGTCTAAATGTTCATCAACTATTCTTTGTTATTGAAATCGTTAGGCCATATTTGTCCATTATTCATCATTGTTGTCTTGATTACTTATCGTTATAATGTGTAATTAAAGTAAAAATATGATTTTTATAAAAAAAAATTCTATATATTCATCATTGTATTGTGCTTATTCATTTTTTTAACTTTTGTTATTTATCGTTACTGCAACAGTATTGCATATGTAAGGGTTAAATATTCAAATGCCTGTTCATTAGTATTGGTATTATTGTTTATCAGTTGGTGTTCATCACATATATATGGTTATTCGTCAAGTGAATTTTAGTTATTCATTACATACGAATGTGTTATTCATTTGTTTATTAATATTATCCTTTCTTGACATAATGCATCAGTAAGGATAGAGGAAAACAATCGGAGGTTGAAGCAAATAGAACCACTGGAACTGAAAAAATTCCATCACTAGCTGAAATGCTTATCAAGAGGAACTCGATCGATCGGGAATCAAATATTTTGATAGAGTTGCTGAAATCAAATAATCTACATAAAAGTATCGAGCATTGGTAAATCATTCAAGACCTTATATATTAAAAACAATAACTAATTTTTTTGTTCATTTTTTGTCTAGTATAATGCATAATTAGAAGTTTATTAGCTTAGTTGCTGACATTAGTTCATTATAAAATATATTCTCATTTTGTTGAGCATTATTCATCCACTAACGATATTTTATTCATTTATTAAGTTACAATTATCCATCTAACAAAACTGTATCTATTCTTCATTCTAGTGTTGTCATTCATCTAGGATGAGATCATTATTTATCAAAATTTGTTTCGTTATTCATCTTTGTAAATATCGTTATCCATTTCAAAATTTAAATTTATTTATCCATAACTTTATCAGTATAAAACACAATTATTCATCAACAATATTATCATTATTCATCGATAAGTATACCATTATTCATCCAAAAAAATATCGTTGTTCATTAAAATATTTCAAATTTGACCCTTAATTCTGCAGATTCCATTGTTAATTTGTTAAAATTTTTTGCTGCAATTGATTCTCCAGATTCATAAGTCTCGATGATGAACCATATTCAATTTTACCGAAATGAAATTCATCGTTATAAAAAAAATTTCTCATAAAATAAAATAAATAAAAAAGCTAATGTGATAAGATCTAGAGGTTTAAAACGTGCGCTAAAGAAAAGAGATAAAATCTGGTGGTTTTAATGCAGTTTAAATGCACGTGTGATATGGATTACCAACTCTACTTTCTTTTGCCAATTTTGTAAGACACACACCTCTTAGGTACACATTGCAAAGTGTACTTAGATATTTGTTATTATTTGCGGCTTTGCTACGTGGCGATTAATGTGAAATGTTCCCTACTGATGATTTCACACAAAACATTTTTTAGAGTGGTTTCATTGTGCCCGTGAGCACCTGAAATAACTGAAGCATCATAAACTGCTCGAATTTGCAGCATAAGAGCAACTAATCCATTCAGTACGTTCAATTTATAAATTTTGAAAACCCGCAGGGTAAGCACTAGTATACCGTAATATTTGCATCCCATTTTTCTCATGATTTCCCAACAAGAGAAAAACCAAAAAGATAAAATAAAAATAAAAAAGGAGAGATTTTGATTTCTCGACCTAAAAAAAATTGTAGTCCTTATACAACGCACAGCGTCTAGATTCTAGAGACTAGAGGGCATCCCCTGAGGCCCTGACGCCGCCGCGGCGGTTGTTTAAACCACCGTAAAGAGTTGTTTCAATTAGTTGACTGAAGGAGAAAGAGAAAGAATGATTATACTATTAATTGGGAGACTTTGAAAAAATGCAATTACGCAGATCACCATTGATTTGTTTACATATGGATAAAGTAGACTGTAGACCTCACAAAGCACCTCACTTTCGGCATCTTAATATATTAAATCAATCTCTAGTCATTTGCTCTAACGGCACCTGTGCGCAAGCAATTAAACAAGCAATGCCAGGAGAACATATATTTAGAGATAAATGATAAAACTAGTAGACTTTTGAAATTTGTAAATAAAGCACGCACGAATCATATGAAGTGCGAGTGTAACTTTTTCCATAATCAATTGGGTTTAATTTGTTCCGCATCATTGTAGAACTGTAGAAGCAAAGTTTAATTAGTTTATAATAGGTTTAGTGTAAAATTTCAAAATCATTTTCGTTTCTTATGGTAAGTATTACTCATTCCGTCTCAAAATTAACTACGGAATAAGAATAGCTTACTAGAATCTTATTAATCCCTGTCAACAGTAATCTAATTCCTTAAAACTGTACTCACAACCATGATAATATCTGATCATAATGCCCAGGTATTGAATCTTACACGTAACCAAAATGTGCCGAAAAATGAAAAAATAAAAATAAAAACTGAACCTCATCCACATGTGCACGCTTGGAGACTCCCAGATTTTTTTGTTGAAGAGCTGAGTAATACAGTGAGAAATACGGAAGTGCCACATGGCAAAGAATCTTCGTCAATTGGTTGGCCTTTCATGGCGTTGGATTGGCTACCAATCTTTCTGGTCCCACCACCCACCACCGATTCCTCCATTTCTGTTTTTGATTTCTTCCCATTTTCCTGAAAAAAAAGCTCTCTGTTTTCAGTGAAACAGAAGAACACCAGATGATGAATACTGCCGTATAGTGTTAGTATATATTATCTCCCCGGATTTATACAGTTTCAGTTACCACAAAGTTGAAGTTAAACTAATTAAAGAAGAGGAAAGGAAGACCGTTCAATTGTCCATCCCAATTCTTTCTTACTCATCTTCCTTCAACCTCAAAGACATATTTATATTCTTGTTGAATTCTAAAGGCGTTTGGAGACCAATTTGTCGACTTTTTATTGAATACTTTACTGAATAATGAGTTCGAGTTTTTACAACTCGATCAATACTTCAACTGCCCTTCTTTCAAGAACCCAGTTCCCTGCTTTGCTGCCAAAAGATGAGCTTTTTCAGATTCTGCATCAATACAACAGAGAAAATGGTCAGCTTAGGAAGACCAATAGAGTTAAGGCCGGAGCTACGTTGAGGGTGTCAGCTTCTCTGACAGAAAGTGTTGTTACAAAAGCTGATGAAGAGATTTCCAAGCCAACCCAGAAGAAGCTGAAATTACTTGTGGCTGGTGGTGGGATTGGCGGGCTAGTTTTTGCTTTGGCTGCTAAAAGGAAAGGGTTTGATGTTATGGTGTTTGAGAGGGATTTGAGTGCCATAAGAGGGGAGGGACAGTACAGAGGTCCTATTCAGATACAGAGTAATGCTCTGGCTGCTTTGGAGGCTATTGATATGACTGTTGCTGAAGAGATTATGAGTGCTGGTTGCATCACTGGGGATAGGATCAATGGATTGGTTGATGGAATTTCTGGTAACTGGTGAGCTTCTTTGACTATTCTTAAGTTTTAGTTTAGTAAATTAATAGTTTTCTTCTTCTGCATATACTGATCATGTAAATATGGAGTTACACCTCTGCAGTCCGCATGCTTTTTGCTTTTTGCGAGAATTAAGTTTAATTTCTTTTAGATATGTGTTAAGGAATGATGAATCTGTTTACTTTATTTGGGCAATCGGATCCATCAGCTTGTGCTGTTATCTGTACGAATATGATCAGATTTTGTAATCGTATGAAATGACTTAAGCTGATTATCAGGTACATCAAATTTGATACTTTCACTCCTGCAGCAGAAAGGGGGCTACCGGTTACAAGAGTTATTAGTCGAATGACTTTGCAACAAATACTTGCTCGTGCTGTGGGTGAGGAGATAATCATGAACGAGAGTAATGTAGTTAGCTTTGAGGATGATGGTAATAAGGTTTGTAGAACTCTGATATTGGTAAATTATATTGTTTCCTGAATGTTATCTGATAGGGTTGAAAGATTTCCGGCTGCCTACGTTGTCCTAGCATCAAACAGAAGAACTTAGTTGTGTTTTCTGCTGGTTTATGGATGGACTTTGTATAAATTCAGGTTAGTGTTACTCTTGAGAATGGACAGCGATTCGAGGGAGATCTTCTTGTTGGTGCTGATGGGATATGGTCTAAGGTAATGTTTTCCTTTACTGTTATTCATTTCATGGAATATTGACATAAGATAGTTTATATGCAATACGTTTGGTCGATATGTGACACTGCAACATTGCGCCTGAGTAGGAAACTAAATACAGAATTATGCCTTTAGAGCCACTCGATTCTGATCAACTGAGTTGTTTTCTTTCTTCTGACAGGTTCGAACAAATTTGTTTGGGCATAGTGAAGCTAAATATTCAGAGTATACTTGTTACACTGGCATTGCAGACTTTGTTCCTGCTGATATTGAGACGGTTGGGTATGTGATTTTAGTGTGCGGCACTCGTCATCCATTTTTTATTCTGATTACTGTGATTCACTTTGAAGTTGTACTTCAGGTATCGAGTTTTCCTTGGCCACAAACAATATTTCGTTTCTTCAGACGTTGGTGGTGGGAAAATGCAGTGGTATGCTTTTCACAAGGAACCCCCTGGTGGTGTTGATCCTCCAAATGGTATTTCATTATGTTTATACCTCATATTAAGGGGCTGTTTGATAAAGGCACTTAATGCTTAAAATTATTGGATTAATCATTTCTTCATTTCAGCATGTTTGATAACAAAAAATGAACCTCTTAATGAATTAAGTAGTACTGAAAAGTTAGCTTATTGTTTATTCCGTAACTGCTTCATGAATTCAGCATTTCTAATTCAGTATTAAGCATTCAGAATTAAGTACTAATTTTTATCAAACATGTCCTTAGACTAATAGGAGCTACCATGGTTTAGCGCATTCATGACTATGTTGAGTATAGATTTTGATGTTGCACTTGAGTTCTAACTTAGAATACTCTTAGGGGAAGATAAGGAAAAGCTCTGTGAAGAAACACTGCACCAGATCTAGATAACATGCTTTATTGTAGTTCCATCCTGAGGTGTCTTTTGCTTCTGGTCCATGTTTAGTACTGTTGCAATCAAAAACTTCCTATTGCCTATGAGAGTCAAAAGCCATGAATAGAAAGCTAAATTTAATGGTTCTATGTCACTAATGTCCTTTTTATGATTCCATCATAGGTAAGAAGGAGAGGTTGCTTAAAATATTTGGAGGGTGGTGTGATAATGTGATAGACCTGTTGCAAGCCACTGACGAAGAGGCAATTCTTCGGCGTGACATATATGATAGAACACCATCACTTAGCTGGGGAAAGGGTCGTGTGACTTTACTTGGGGACTCAATCCATGCAATGCAACCTAATTTGGGACAAGGAGGTTGCATGGCCATTGAGGTCTCTTAATCTTTTTTCTTTCGTTATCGGTAAATTTATTCGTTGGCTTTCTGAAATTTGCCGAGCAAAAGGATTTCATGTTGCTGTTGCAAGAGCAATGTTAGAAATATTTAAGGCCTTGCATTCACCTAGTGAGCTCTATTTGTCATGTTTGCAGGACAGCTATCAACTGGCCTTGGAGCTTGACAAAGCTTGGAATGAAAGTAAACAATCAGGGAAACCAGTTGATGTTATTTCATCTTTGAGGAGGTAAAGATCTTATTAAATGGCCAAACAATTTAGATCACGGTGATTGATGAAATTAACCTTGAATGGTGTATGATATACATATTACCAAATAGCAAGAGGTTTAAAACTTGGATGTGGAGGAAGTTAAAACCTCAACTTCAAAGAAGAGAAAGTTTTAAGCAAATATTTTACATTTTCCTCTCTTTCCTAGGAAAAATCCAGTTTCAGAAACCAATATAGTGTTTTGCAGCATGTCTGCGTTCTTGCATTAAGAAACAGACACGAGATGATTTTGCTATGCTTTTCCAGGATGTTAGACTGATTAATTACTATACTTGATTGTCTTTCCAGGTATGAGAGCGCTAGAAAACTAAGAGTAGCTGTAATTCATGGTCTGGCTAGAATGGCTGCAATCATGGCATCAACTTATAAGCCGTATTTGGGTGTAGGACTGGGTCCCTTATCAGTAAGCGATGCACTATCCCTGGACAAGCATGGTTCTTCACCTTTTCTTTGCTATTATTACAGCAATATCACTTGATGAATAAAATTGATATTATTCTTTGCAGTTCTTAACAAAATATAGGATACCACACCCGGGCAGAGTTGGTGGAAGAATATTTATAGACATTGGGATGCCCTTGATGCTAAGTTGGGTCCTTGGTGGCAACGGGTAAGTTTGGACAAACTTCATTCATTCTCCAACAAAGAGTTTTTAGAATTAGGTGATCTCTTAGTAATCGGTCAAATTATTCAATGAGATTAGATTGGTGGATGGTTGAGAAAATCAAACTAGTAACCACAAAGCGGTTGACATCTGCATCTTTCTCAAACCCATCATTCTCTGGGTCATTTTGTTTTGATGAGTAAATTCACCGTGAATATCATTATATATAGCGAGGTTCACGTAAGAAAAATGATTTTATTTTTTTGGTTGGCTTTCTTGGATAACAAAGCTTCAGTGGCCTATCAGACTATTGGCAGTTGAAAATTTAGTTGCCATGGTCAAATCCTTTTATCACAATAACAGAGTTCAGAATAAAATTAATTTATGGTGATATTTTTGAGCTAGGACCATATTTTTGAAGCTAGACATGTGACTTGTCCTGTTTTATTGATTGATTACGCCTTGAGGTGACAATCAGTCCCGTTTCTCCCTTGTTTTCTAGATCAAAGCTTGAAGGCAGACCACAGCACTGCAGGCTTACAGACAAAGTATGTGGACCTTAGTAGTCAAACATTATGTTTTTCACTTCCTCAGCATGATAATTTTGACTTCTCTGATGGTATATATTAATTTACCTGTCTATTTTTTGTGATCTGACCAAATGAAGGCCAATGATGAATTACGAAAATGGTTTGAAGATGATGATGCTCTGGAACGCGCTCTCAAAGCAGAGTTAGTATATAGCCATCTTGATGTCTCTTTCTTAATTTCATAGTCAAGATAGATAACGAGGGGTCCCTGTCATTAATCTTTCTCTTGTGACCTATAGGTGGTTCCTATTCCCGATTGGTCAAGTGAATTCTGATTCGGAAGCCATTTTCTTGCGCAAAGACAAGGAAAATCCCATTACAATTGGGTAAGCTATTCCTATGGTTTTGAGTTGATATTCTTACCTTCGGAGTAGGAAGATTCTAAAATTTTGTGGTGGAAAAAAAGCTTTTTACTTTCTAATTTCTGGCCATAGATCACATCAGTTCTAGGAAAATAAAATTCCATAGAACAATATACGAAATCTGTTTGAGATCTTATAGTTCTTGTATGCGATAATGCGAAGCTGGAACTTTTTCAGTAAAGGTCTAATGATAACATCTTTTGTGATCTTAGGAATGCTACTCAGGCTGATACTACCGGAGTTTCGATAGCTTTATCTTCACCTCAGGTGATATAACTTAGCTAGTTTCTAATTACCGCTTACAGTAACTCCCGGTTGCCTACCTTCCTAAATGAAGCAAAACATGGATTCAGGTCTCCAAATTGCATGCACAAATAAGCTACAAAGATGGACATTTCTACGTGACTGATTTGCAAAGTGAATTTGGCACCTGGATTATTGAGTAAGTCACAAGAAATATGGTTACCGCGAAAGGCTATGTGATGAGCTTTTTCTGTTTAGCACTAATGTTATTGATCAATGATTTAATGTAAAATTGCAGCAATGAAGGAAGGCGCTACCGGCTCCCTCCAAGCACACCAACCCGTTTCCGTCCATCAGACTCCATCGAATTCGGCTCTGACAAGGTCCTTATAATTCTTCTCCTTCCTTCCTTGCTTCTTGGCTTTTAGTCTTATACAACTACCATACAGTTAAAAAGTATAGAAACACGACGCCAACCAATTATTTTCTTTATCAATTTTCAGGCTGCATTCCGGGTGAAGGCAATGAAGAATTTACCTCAAATAACGTCAAAGAATCCAGAGAAGGAAGTCGTTTCGGCTGTGTAAGATGTAAATGGAAGTCCCAGGACGGATACACACGAAAGTCCTATAGCAATTTTGTTATGGCAGCGTTAATTAGGAGCCTGGTAAAACTGTAAAGTTGCACTTGCTGCCGGTTTGTGTAAAGTAGAAAGTTATGTAGTAGTAACACCTACCTTTATGTAAAAGGAAAACAAGAGAAAGACGGTGAAACATGCGTACATAGGGTGGATTGATTTGGGAATGTCATAGAACAGATTACAGCTAAAGATACTTTTGTAATTTTATAACAGAACTGATGACCAATTTGATTCATTGTCACCTGTCATCTTCTAATATTTACTTGGAAATGTTATAAGAAAGCAGACCATCTGATTCTTTTTGTTATCTTCCATGATTAACTTGTATGTTACACTTTGGTCCTCCTAAATCAACATAAATTCATGCTTAATGGTCGTAAATTAACACCAAATCAGACTATTAAAATGAGACGGAGAGTAAATTAGTAAGAATGCAAAATGAAGATTGCAGGCAGGAAAGGTGCAATAAATGTTAGTTTTACACATGGATTCCAAGCAATAAAGGAACCCTTTCGCCCCACAGTAGTTGTGGAAGCCAATGACGTATTACACATGGTTTTACTGTAGTAGTAAAAGACGGTTCGCCAATTGTCAGATTTCCTCAGGGAAACAGACCAATATCCACTGTAGCAGTAGAATAATGTAACAGGGGAAGATCCACCACCGATCTGATCTTATTTTTGAGTCGTGCAATTTTTGCAGAAAAATGGGTGCAGACAAGCTGCATTTAAGGTCAACGTGTTGTCACCATCCTTAACCTAGACATCATAAACCCGCGTGTTCGTTGAACCACAAAAATGAAAAAAGACAGAAAAATGGAAGCAGAATTCAATTAGTTTTCAACCCCCTTGAACTTGAAATGGAGAGGTGTTCTTTTGCCATCCTTATTACAGACATCCCATTTCATATATTCGTGTTATTACATCATTGATATCATCAGAACTAACATTAAAAGAGAGAAAGAGAGAGACCAACAGTCAAAACCCAACATCTTTAAAGTCCACATTTGGCAAAAATGCCACGAGAGTAGTCTTCAATTCTTTCCTTTCCCATTCTGTCACTTCAATTTGGCAGTATTGCATTAACTTCCATGATGATCGGTGCTCCTGAAAGCTCTGTTTCTAGTTAGTATTTTACATGAACCGATGTTTTTTTTTTTTTTCTGAAATAGAATTATAAGTAGTCCAAGTGCATAGTACATTCGAGTTTTTTGGGCATCAGAAACAAGAATGAGCGTGAGTAATGGGAAATTGAAATTACCAGAACTGACAGAGAGTTAGGCAAGGGGGGGACACTTGTTGACCCCCAACGTTAGACAATATACAAAGTCACAAAAACTCACAATTACCAATACTATACAATTGTAAGTAGTACAAAACAACAAAAACATCAATAATTCACCCACTCCCGGGTTTGATAATTGTGTTACCAGAAGAAGAACTCCCAAGGCCATTCATATACTACTATGATAGATGAACAAACATTACCTACGAAATTACAACTAAAGCTACTTGGGGCTCTCTTCTCTCTCGATCTCACAATTGTTGTTCCTTCACTGTCATCAACAACTCTTACTAACTGGGTTGTTTGTCGGGGGAAGACGACGAATTCACAGTTCACCCCAAATCACAATCAATTCAAATGTAAATCTAGTACAGTTTGTAATGTTACTTGTGTTAAATTGTGGACGGTAGAATAAACTAGACATTAATCATCCACCGATCCGAACTGGTGGGTTCGTACATTCTACTTCTATTTAGCATCAGTTGTTACCTCGGCTAGCAAAGCAGATGGCAGCTGACTCAGGTGGGGGTCCACATCTGGGTTGCAATTCCCCAATTTCCCATTAGGATCATCAGTAGTAGTAATAAGTAATAGTAGTAGTACTAACCCAAATGTGTTATTTAATATTAGTTGATGTGAATTTCTTCGCATCAATATTTTTATTTTTGGGGCAAAAACTGTTTGCACGTGCCGTGGGAGTATCCTTGTGAGAAGGCAGTGATGGCACGTGAACTGGTATTGTGCAGTTAGTTGGGTGGAGGGAGGGGGCACGTGAGAGCCAGAACGGTTGGGTACAGATGGAAATGACCGTTGATGCAAATGCAATTAATCCTCTCCAAGAAAATCCAACCTCATTATATCATTATTACTGCTACATTTCGGTGCAGTGAGAACTGAGATGCTAGCTAGTTCGTTGAGCACAAGGCACTGACTCACTGAGGAACGAGAACGCCACCGCGCACCGGCGGAGTTCATGAATTTTAGTCACTTTTCTACACACACACATCATGCGTGTGTTGTTGTTTTTTTGGTTGAAAGTCTAGTAGGTTTTAAATAACAATTCTCTCCGTCTCAAAATTATTGTTCAATTTGAATTTTCACTTTTAGTTTAATTTATATTAAAAATAAAAATTTAAAATCAACAATAATTTCAGGATGGAAAGAATAAGTAATTTTGATTAACCTCGGCACTAGAGCCAAGATTTTTAGGTTAGGAGGTGGGAAATCTATAACATATATATATAACTACAAATTTATGAGCTAAATGAGCTAAAGTTTAATATATTTTACTATCTTCTAATTCCGTCGCTGATAATAAATAGTATATGATGTATCTTTCAAAGGTAATTCAAAGAATAGTTAGAAAATTCATTGCTGAGGTTCCCTCCAGTTTGATCCTGCTTTGATTTGCATAAAGAAACCGACATTTCCCTGTTCAGTGTTCATCATTCAAACGCAAAACAAGTCCAGCTAGCAGACTACCTAGTCTTCGTTCAAATGCATTTTTGAGAAAGACCAACTTTTTCATCTCAATTTTAAGTGTGATTGAAAGATTATTACATTGAAATTTTGTGTTGTCAAATTGATCGGGTGACAAACATTTTTACTAAGAAAAGAAGGGGTAAAAGATCAATCCGTTTCCAAAGCTGATGAGTATGTGATTGAGAGCCAAAGTGTCCTTGAGGACAATAATTACGAAGACCGCTTCTCTGTTTTTTTCCCCTAATAAATCACATGTTAATTCTTTGGTAAAAAAAAAAAAAAAAAACATTTTCACATCCGAATAGGACAAGGATAAAAAAACATGGTAGTACCAACGTAGTAGTGCGGGTTGTTGGCGCCAAAATTAGGGGGTGAAAGTTAAATTGGTTGCTTTGATCGTTGATAGCCTTGACCAATGATTTGTTCAGAGCAACGGGCAAATTGTTTCATCATTCTGAAGTGGAATTAATCATATCATGACTGAACGTCTCTTGTTAAAATGTGTTTGTACTAATTAAGCTTAAAAAGTTTCAAGGTTAAAACCAAAAGGATCCTATTCCTATGAAGCGTTTATAAAGCTTTTTTTTTCTTTTTTTTTTTTTCACTTGATCAGATGCTTCTAAGTTCTGTGGCCCCCAAATCACTTTTCCTTCATGGTTTCTTGATGCCCTTTTAAATGTAGCCGTTCCTCGGATCTTGTCTCTGCAAAAGTAAGGAATATTAGACTATCTCAGCCACAATGACACTTACTTGTAAGCCTAAGGCAAATTAATTCAAATATATTGGCCTGGATTTATTTCAAGAAAAGCGTTTTATTTGTTATACCGTTTTGATTTAAATATTTATCTAATTTTGGAACGATGGGAGTAACTACAACATGATGTACTTCAGTTACTCTTTGTGAAAGTACTTTTGGTAGATTCCGGACAATGAATCGAATTGGCTTCAGGGGTAATCAGATCGTATCTTGTAGATTCCGTATTCTATCTCGTCGATGAAATCTTCTTTTAGGCTTTTGTTTGGAAAAAGTTTGTGCCCAATGTGCGTGTTTGAGTTGTTGTGTCTGTTATGTTACTACTAGTACTGCTTCTTCTTTTCTGAGCTCCAAAGCATCCAACAACAGGATCATGTTCAGGCAGAAAACGGGAAGGAAAAAAGCTTATGTTATTGTTCCTTTTTTCCTTTTGGGTAAACATTTATAGACTATAGACCAACTTGATTTTTTTGGTAATAGAAAAAAGCATCAAGACTAATTGTTAATTGACATTCTTCCTTTTAAGGTTGATTTTATCCTTCTTTAACTCCAGGATGTCTCTTTGGAGGGCAACACATTTTGCTGGTAGTTTCATTTTGTGGGTTCAAACAATGGCAAATAACTTATTTGCCACATACTTTAGGTGTCCTATAACTTGTTAATGTTTACCAGTTATAACATTGTCTTCCTTTGTTATAACCTGATGAAATTAACATGGTATTAATTACGGCAGATCAAAATATAAAACAAGTTCCATCTTACCAAAAATTATGTATTCGGACATATTACAGAGTAATTACTCATTTCACGGTGCGATTGAATATATATATATATATATATATGTGATGCAATGTGACAATATCACAATAGCATAATCGCAATCATTAATTCCCAAAAATAAACAAGGGTAATACTAAATTCCATTACAGCTAAATATAGAAAGGAAGTCACACACACACACAACTTAAAAAAATAAAAATGAAAAATTGAAAAAGAAGAGAAACATGAAAGGAAGAGAACTTTTCAGAACTACTTCGTGGCATTGTACACAGTACTGATTGAGCTTTTCCTTTTTTTTCTCTTTTACTACCATTTCTTCATGTCAATGCTCTTGGAGCTCAAATACACAAATGAATTGCCTCGTTGTTCTGTCTCTCAAAAGCTAAACGTAGAGAAGGCAATGGTTGTCAGGTTTTTTTTCTTTTCTTTTTTTGGCTTTCTCTAATCTATGCAATGCTACAACAAAACTTCTTCTTTTCTCTTACCCAAATTTCAATGAAATTATACATATCTCTATCACATTCCTCAAAAAAAAATTAAAAGACGAGAGACTTTTGTTTTCTTGAATTAATTCAATCACCCCACTCATTCAAACACCTGAGAAAGGGAAATGAACCCAAAAGAAGACATTGATTAGAAGAAAACGAACACAAAAGAGACAATCAAATTCAAGCAAATGTGAGTTGTAGAGTAACACTAATCTGCCAACAAGCTCAATTAACTCAAAACCCCACCAATTGCCCCCAACAGCACCACACCGTATTTATTATTACAATGAGATCTTGTTCTTCAAGGGATCCGTATACCATTGTCGCTTACCTGAGAAGCAATTACCTGTGTCCCACTCCACATATCTTCCTCCTCCTTTCTCCCCCTCCCTCACCCCACAAACAGCTAGAGAAACACACCCACACACACACACAAAACAGTAGCAGTTGATTTGATTTTGGATCATTTTGCATTATCGCAATTTCAAATTTTTAAACCTGGGTTTTTGTTTTTCCTGTCCCAAGTTTCGATCTTTGGTCCCACAACAACGTCTTTTTACTCGGAAAGAAGCACACGTGCGCTCCCCTTACTTGAAATCTGTACCCAGTTCTCTTCATTCAACAAAACAAACCATTTTCCATTCATCTAGGCACTAGCAGGTACCCGGTAATACTAATGAGTAGATTAGCTTTGAAAAGAATTAAGCAAAGGAATTAACCAAAACCAATTCCCAAGATTAATGTTCCGTTCGTGCTCCAAAAAATAAGCTGAAAATCCCAAAATTTCCAATGCAGATGGTAAAATAAAGAGCTCAATTTTCACTATATATATATATATAAATGTACTCTACAAAATCTCGAGGAACTACTATAATTTTTTCTCGTGTCATATGGATTTCCTTTTCTTTTTACATTTCTTGAGCTTTTCACAGTTTCATACTATGTGGGCTAATGTCTTCCTTTTCTTTTTTTTTTTCTTCCTGCTTTTTTACTTGACCCGAAGAGGCAAAGGGCAAACTCGAGGTATTGAAAATCTGGAAAATATAGGAGCAGAAGTTGAAAAAGGGAAAAAGAATCTCGATGTCTGCTGCTTGCCACTAATAATTTTGTACAACCGCTATGATGACGACCGGGTTACCGACTCAGCCAGTTTCCCTATTTTCTCAACCAACTCCGGTGACAACTTCTTTGTCGGTTTCCTCGCCTTTTCCGGCCGGAAATCAAAACCCAGAGCCTCCGAGACCTCGTCGGAGCTCCACCCGGCTTTCCGGAGGGAATCCGAGAAACGATCCGCTTTTAACAGTAGAGCATCCATGACTGCCTGGTTGTCCAACAGCACCATCTCGCCACCCTCGAAGAACCCAGATGCCGACACGTGTACGATCTCCGAGACGTCCGATTCGTCCCAACCGCTGTCTCTCAAAACCGACCCGATTTGCCCCACGTACTCGTCCACCCATTTGGGTATTTCGGACCTTGGCATATCGAAGTATCTTTCCGGCGACGACGATGACGACGACGACGAATTCGAGTTCCTCCGCCGGCGATCGATGGCTGCGTCACTCCAGAACTCCACCCATCTCGGCGTTCTTCCTCCAGTGACGGTTAGAGCATCAAGGCTCCGCCTAGAAAAGTCCATGGATGACCCGGATGACTTCTCCCCCACTGAGCGTTGTCTTGACAGAATATCCGGTTCCGAACTCTGAAACAACGATGACTCTCGTTCGAAGAAATCTGCAAGATCAAAACCGCAGCAAAATATCCGACTTTCATCAACGTAGAAAATTGGGTTCCCGGCCAAACAGGGGTTACAAGGAATGTAACAATGGTTGAAAATGGGTATTAAAAGCGGCGCTCGTTTGAGGGCATTTCTGGCGATCTTGAGAGCTTTTTCCGGGTCGGATGGCCTAGGACCCCAAGATTTGGACCACAAAGAATTTCTCGCAATATGGAAAGAGATGGCTGCCACAGGAAGATTAATGGAGGCCCGGAGATGAAGCCGGGCAGGGCCGGAAGACCGCCAGTCCGGGAAACCCGGCCCTAATGGCAAGCCAGCTGAAAGAACAGCTTTAAGATCAGGTGGGAAGGCGAACCCGAACTCTGCTTCCGCCCTTGCAAATTCCGACTCGCATAAACCGGTTTGGACTTGAATACCCGAATTCTTGAGATGGGTCAGAACTTTATCCGCTAAAGAAGTGAAAGAAATGAGACTGTTGCGTGGTGGAAGGGGAGTAGAAGGAGTTGAAGCCGAGGCGGCAGCGGCAGCCCGAGCGGAGAGCCGCCGTAGACCCGCCACATGGCCCGGATTCAGACCAGTCATCCTCCGGTCTACGTCCACCATTATGGTGTTTCTTAGTTAAAAATTCCTTCTTCGCCGAAATGGGTTTATGAAATTTCGCCGGAAATCCGTATAACTTCGGTGTGAATGAGTAGTATTTTTTGTTAATGTGAGATTCTCAGATTCAGGAAGAATGAGGAAGAGAGAGTGTTTGAGAGCAGTGTAAAAATGGAAATTGTGTTCTTTTTTGTCTAGGAGAGTAAAGAGAAAGGTGGGATATTTATAGGGAGGTTTGCAGTGGTGCGAGGGCCCACCATGGGGGATTTTTGGATGGTAGAAAATGTCTTTCCATTGTGGTTCACAGCAAGAAAACAAAACCAGAAAATAGTTAAAAGCATATTATAAATTTGGTTTGATTGCTTCTTGGATTTTTTTCTATATGGAAGTGACTGCTAATGACAGATTAGTGTTAATCTAGGCATCTATTGAATGGGTGGAATATTGTAACTTCCAATTTATACTACTTTGATACGGAGGAATGGGAAAGAAATAAATCTCGTGTAAAATGTGATATTGTATCACTAACTTCCAATTCGTAGAATATGATAATAAAATGGTGAAAGTTTTATATTAAAATCTATTAGTTGAAATTTACTCGACTCGAATATAAAATAGTCGGAATATTAATTTTAAATCCTGCAATATACCAAAATATGTAGACATATTAGTTAAGGTTTTTAGGTTATATGAAAATTTTGAACTTGGACCATAAAAATCAGTCTCACATAGTGCTTACCTTTTAAAATATCATAATTCTTATAGTAGTAGCAAAATAAATTAGTAAGAAATGTGAATCCAACCTCTAGAAAACGGGTTAATAAAAATTCGATGCTTGCCTTAATGATGTAGACCTATCGAATTTAAATGATAGCTTCATTTTTATTTTTTTTTTGCTTTCTAAATTTTGAGCGAAAAAAAAAGAAAAAAAAGTTACAGATGGACCCGCATTTTAATTGGCGTAGATTACCTTTGCGTACGACGCATACTACCCAATTTGCATTTTTGGAAAGCAATTTGGACAATTGGGACTCCAAAGTGTACGCAAGCCATTGTGGTATGATTCCATTTTGTGGATTTTATGGTTTGAGGTATGGGTGGATGAACGTTCCATACTTTCTTCATAAACGTCCGGCCGAACGTTCAGATTTATGCCAATACTGCAAAAAAAAAAAAAAAACGCTTCCAAGATTACTCGATTGAGAATTCAATGGTTTTATTTTTCTTCAATATTTGAAGCCAAGTATATTTTTCGCGAAATAATTTTGTATCTCATATTTTTTGCAGGGGCTCTAACTCTTTAGAACATAATATCATCATAATCATTTATCTCCGTAATGTGTTAATTTGAATTGTTTAGATTATGGTGTTTTATTGTTAAAAAAAAAAAAGAAAAAGAAGAAGAAGAAAACCTTTGGTGATTGTTGATCTTACTGGCGTCCAACAATTGACTATTTAGCTTTTAGTTACAGTTAGGGTAATGGCGCAAATATTAAACAACGGTTTAATCTGGTAATAATTGTTCGTTACTGTGATTTTGTCCTCTAGCTAGTTCAATATTCATAACTTTTATTTGGAAGGAAAACAAAAGTTTTGATAAAGCCCCCTCTTCTAATTACCCCAACTGTTTTTTTTTTTTTTTTTTGCGTCTCCAGATTTTCTTTCCTGTTTAAGTCAATTACTACTATTAGTTAGCAGCAAAGGCAATTCGTTTTTCCTCCAGTGTAAAATCTCAAATTTAGGTAGTTAATCATCTTCAAAGTTTTGGCCACGTTTCAGAATAAAAATTCATATCTTCCTTCCCTCTTTTTTTTTTTAATTTTTTTTTCTTTTTTTTCAAAATAAAGAAATACTACTACTTTCTTATTTAAAACACAATTAAATAAATGCTTAGGGAAAACAAATGATACGCTTAGTCGATATATTTATTCAATCCCTGACACAGAGAGTTCCATCCGGGAAGTTTTCATTTTTTACATCAATAAAAGAGGTGGTTTGAAGTTAGTAAGTCAACTAGTCACTACAAGCACATGAAATAATAAGATTCCCCCTCCTTCCCAAACCACCTTAAACTTAAAGATGAGATGAAGGAGAGAAACACATGAAGTGGGTGACTAAAGCTTAACAACTTACTAGATAAAAAGTGAATGCTACCCTGAAACCAAAATGTTACGATTAAATGGAATTATTTCTTCTTCTTCTTCCCTTGTCCCAATTTTAGCTCAAGGTAGGAAAATGTAGTTGCCAAATCACATTCTCGTGTTAGTTACCCCAAAAAAATCAAATGCTTGGTTTGATAACAACAAACCAACAAAACACTTTAGATTTTTGTTTTTCTCACTGGTCTGTGACGAATTACTCAATGAAGAAAGCGGCGGACAACCGAGTCATTTTTTCTGATTAAAAAATTACGTTTCCTTTTTTAGTGGGAATTATGGTAGCCTTTAAATTGCATGCAATTAGTTGGTCCTCTAGTATATAACTGGCTAACTTAACTACAGCAAGCCGACAACCGACGGCCATGCACTTCTGTTTTGGGTCACTAATTAATCGCCCCCAAAAAAATAAAACATTTTAATTTGGTGCTTTTTGGCAATATAATTGCATGTGTTCGCCTCTCATTATTTGACTTGCCATCATTATCATTACCGTTAACAAGACGGTTAATTAAAGTTCACATTTTCTTTCATGCATTACATATATAATTTGCTATTTTATGTCTTTCGTTTATCAAAAGTGAATAATTTTTCTAAGACGAATGAAACTGTATATGTCCTGCAAAGAATTTTATAATGTGTGATCACTCGCATGTTCACAGCCGTGTAGAGGTATTTACAAGAGAATTTCAGTCCATACTATAAAACTAATATAATTGATCCAACTTGTAGAGAAGAAGAGTATTCAGATTGCAGAACCGTACTTTATACTCCATTTTTAATGTGCTTTTTCGGGTTAAGCTTCTATTTATGACCAACGGTCATTTTACTCGGAAGGTTTTCAAAGCCAGCATGTGATGAAGCGGTGACAACTTCAAATTCAAAGTAAAAATAAAATAATTTTACTCATTTGATTAATTTAATTACTACCTTTTACTTCTGACAAAGCAACAATTATTAATTCAAAAGCTTTGTAATAGAATTAAACCAATCAGTTGACTTCGATGATGGACGAAACATGTGGAGTTCACCTTAGAACTCGGCCTTTTCAGAACGTTTGGCAAACCTGCAGATTTCTCATTAAATTGGTCCTAAGTCGGCAAATGTATCTCTACATTCATTAGCTCGGCGTCTGACTTTTGTGGTTCTTTACGTTAATTTCTTCCAAGAAAAAATTGCTTTTAACGTGTGATGAAGCTCCGCCTATTACAATTTCTTAAAATTCAGAAATACTACAAATGTAGAAGTCAATGGAATATAAGTTTTTTTCAAAAAATAATTTTGACCGTGAACTTCCTTGAAAATCCTATAAATGAGTTTCGACCACTAAATCTCAAAACCTCAGATGAACTACTAACAATTTTAATTTTTCACTTACCACTAAGGTTATGAGGCTATTGGACTGCCGACAGTCAATAATAATACTCCCTCCGTCATGAAATAATTGTCTAGTTTGGATTTTCAGTTTTAATATAAATTGAACTAAAAGTGAAAAACCAAATTGGACAATAATTTTGGGAGAGAGAGTATATCCAACTTCACTAACATTGTTATGCAGAATACTAGGTAGTAAGGTACATAAATACGTATTTAATCGCTAATTTTATACCACATTAGAAATGCCATATTTACTTTATCAAAATCAATGTTTTTTTAGATATCGTCACCTAGCTAGTGTCAAACAAAGTCCGGTGACACTGGTCGGAAACTTGGCACTGATTCATAAGGGGCTTGTCAAACCTGCACAATTGTGATTTTTCCCTATTATTAGACTAATTAAGTTAATTTATTACTCATCTATTTGTCTTCCTTTTCTTTTTGTAATTTATAAATTTGTGTATTTTGGGGGATATAGTCGGTCCTAAATTTGACCACTAGCATGTGGAGAGACCAACAAGATTTCCTCAATGGAATATAGTGGAATGCTGAATTATTTAACAGCAACACGTATTATTTGATTAGATGTCCCCTCCACCGTTTATTCGTCTCATTTATTATTATTTTATTACTATTTTTCAAAGAAAAAGACATGCAGTGGGAGCTAAATTATGAAGCAAAAATGAAATCCAGGCAAAGAGAAAGAAAATTTTTTAAAAAAATTAAAATCAGGGTTATGCGTGGGAATGGGATTAGATATGTAGGATTTAGAGGAAGGCAGATGAGGGTGGTGAGGGGCATGGCAGCTCACTTTGGAGTAACAAAAGTCCATTGTAAATGTCATTCCCGGTCTTCAATCTGTGGAACCAGTTGGCTTTCATTACATACTGCTTTGACAAAGGATTGGAAGGAAACCGTTTTCTTGTCCATGGAGTTTGTGGGCAGGTTTTGGATGGAGGGGTCCATCCCGTCCATGCATGTTGGTGAGAAGAGAACATATATATAACTAAGATCACTTGGTGTAAATTTGATCTCGGACTATGATAGGGAAAGAAAAATATAAACGAGATTTTCTGTTTCACTTTTTATTTGTATTATTTGTGTTTGTCAGACATAACTGGTTAACATAATACATTATAGTTGTTACAATCGAAATATATTGTATTTATGAGATAAATAAAATCGTTGTGTTAATACGAACGATACATAAAAGTTGAGATATGAAAGAGGAAAATGGTATGTGGACAGTGGACAACATGGTTTCCGTGTCTTCGCATCAAATTTACTTGCTTGTTCCCTCAAAGTCTGATTAGTCTTTTTTAAGAGTAAACATATTGTAGCTTGGTAACATTGTTTAGTCGAGATCATGGGTTTTTTTTTGCCGGAGAAATTTCCCGGCAATGGTGAAACAGAGATAATGGCAACTCGAATGATGTGCATGTTTTCGTAATAAATTATGGTCGGTTAACGGCGTAATGAGCATTTAATTAAACCAATGCACACGTACCTTAGCCACCTCAACTTAAGTGTAATAATTTTTTGAAGACCTAATTATTAATCGATTTCTAGCCATTCTCCTTAATAAAAAAGGACAGATCAATGTTCGATGCGTCAATTGTAAGTCCGATTTCATTTGAATTGTGGGACTCAGAGATCCAAACTTATGGTGTCATCAAATCAAATTTACATGCAATCTTTAAAGTTACTTTGATTGGAGAGGGCCATCTTGCATAAATCCATCTTAACTAGTAATAGTAGCTCTTTGGGAAAGTTCTTACTTCTCATCTGCTTAAAGTAAAAAAACAAAAAAATAAAAAACTGAAGTGAAAAGGCAGCATGTAAAGCGTTTTGAGCCATTTCTAAACAAGACGCATAGTGGTGATATTTTCTCCATACACTCTCTATTATACTCCCTCCATTTCAAAATATAAGTCTTTTTAGACTTGACACGTAAACTATAGAGACAATCATCTAACAATTAATTTATGTATTAAATATCTTTTTTACCCCTCATTAATTACATTGAAACTATAAACAAGACTAAATAAAAATATATTAGCATCATTTATTGAGGGTAAATTTGGAAAAATAGTCATTAATTTGCCTAGAATTTGTAAAACGACCTACATTTTGAAAAATCTCCCCAAACCTAAAACGATCTACATTTTGAAATGGAGGGAGTAGTTATCTTTGTATATTTACAACCATTTGAAAACCATATGCAAAAAAGAAACTAAAAATTTGGCATTTTCTTATTTAAATTCAGGCCCCAAAACTAGTGTAATATATACTCGATGTCCGTATTCATTGCTGGAACTAATTTAAATTCGAGGCCAAATCTCTCCTCTCAATTAGACTAGCTTTTTTATCTCACTGACATCATTACCAAATCTTTTAAGAGATAAGATCTCGCATATAATTTCGATATCGGTACAAATTTGCAATCTAAGCAACAAAAACAAAAGAAAGAAATTCAAATGGAAGGGAAAAAAATAGATGAACTGAGAACTCCAATCATTAGTTCATTAATTAATTTTGGGGGGGCTGAGAAGAATCGATTAACTTTTCGAAACTATAAACTAAAACAGCATGCGCACCGCAGTTCGAGCAGCTTCTTCCAAAAATATTCACTTAGACTTTGTGATCATTAAAAATTTTAACTACATTTTCCAATCACTAAGAACAATGACCTCATCATGACGTACATCATGATTAAGAAGTACTGTAATCACATATGTTCAATTAATTAAAAAAAAATCCCAATCAGTTTAGAAAGTTGATTACTTTTTTTTCCTTGCGTGTAAATTGCAGGAATCTGGAATCGTATGTTCTAAAGAGGAGCCTAGCGTTTTTTATAAGGATTTTTTTATATATATATAAAAAAAATTGCATGAAAACTACAACGAAATCATTTTGTAGGGTATCATCACCAAACATACTATAGACTCTAGACTGTTAGATCCTAGATTAATTAACCCCAAATTATTAGCACTAAGATTTTGTTTTAGAAAGTTAATGAATTGATCAATGAGATAATATTCACCATCCCATGTGCTCCCATCAACCTCAATTTAAATTAAAAAATGCAGATTATAAAATTTTGGCCGCAGTGGATATAATGGGTCCTTATACGGCTTAAAGAAGGATAGTTTCAGCAAAAAGGATTGCATCATTTACGGATTCTTCGAATGTAGAGTCGAGATTAAAGTTAAGCTACAAAAGGATAGTTGCTTAAGATAATGAAAAGCGTTTTCTTCAAAAGGTTGATTAGTACTAATATATTGCCATTAGACGTTCCCATAGATTTCGTCATAGTAAATAAAAGTACACAAAGCATGATATTCGAACGAAAGAGTAATGATAGAAACACTAATTAATTGATAACGAATTTTATTATTAATTACGATAAATTTATATATATATATATTTTTTGTTGATAGAGTCAATAAAATAATAAATACAGCATCAGGGATATTAGCTAATGACACATGAACTATAACAGAATACTTGTTAAAACTTTATCATTGTTTTTATCATTACTCTTAATGGAAAAATATTCTTTTGTTCATTGATTAAATGTGTTGTAATTAAACAAGCAAGTTCAAAGTGGAATGAATTATGCGAAATCCCTCCATGATCAAATTGGAGGGGTCCATGAATGGGTCATATATATATAGTTTCCCTAGTTAAGCTCAAAGCTCGAAAGTAAACATCTCTTTCACGTCCACTTGGTTTATTGTTTCTTTTTGCTCGGATTAGGAATATAGGATAGACTTCTACTGTAGGCAATGTCAATGGACTGTATAATTTTGAAAGCTACAAAAAGGGATTAAAGGTAAAAAAAAAAAAAAAGGGGGGGAGACCCCCTCGTGTGGTGATTAAAACTTTTTCAACTTTTGTAGTAATCAGGATTTGCAGATAGCTACAGCCCAAAAAAAGGGTGTTTGGGTAGGCTTGTAAACTAATTAAAGGAAAAGCGTGAAAGAATGAAAGAATCTACGCTGAGTTTTCCAATGGGGTTATATTCGTGCGTGCGAGTGTGATTGGGTATGGGTTATAAAGCCGAGTTTTGATTGCTGAGTTTTATTTTTCTATTTTGTTTTTCAGATATGAAATAAGAACCCCCGCCGGCAGCAAATCCGTGAATTGCACGGAATACATAAGACGCAAAGTCGAAAAAGCTTTTGCAGAAATGAAAGGAAAGCACCAATCTGAAGGAAACCAGAGAAAGACAGCAATGCAAAATGATCATTCAAGTAGCTTTTTTTTTCAATTCATTCACACTGGACTTGTGCCTTTTGTCCTCCTTTTTGCTCTTCACCCTCAACTACATCCAAACTGTTTCACCGTCAAACAATCAAGACGTATTTGTGGGATGATTTTGATTTTAGACCTTACTTTGAACTAAAGAATTTTAGAAGCCTTTGCCGTGAATAAAGTAAGATGTAGTCGCCCACAACAAACGTCTGTGGGCTTCAACCTCCTAAAGTTAGACCATATACACTCCCAAGATTTTGGTTTTTTTTTTATGCAACCCAAGATTTTGTTCATTTTCATACATAAATAAGATAGATTAGAAGTTATGGGCTATGACGGATCCAATTCTGCCTTTTAAAGAATCTGAAAAAACTGTAGAACCAATTCTTCTTGCAAGACCAACCCAAAGAATAATAATTTCTGACCAACACTTGATTGACCCAGCCTCCGTGAACAAATTGAATCTCTAAATTGCAGATTATAGTGATTTGATTCTTTTTTGGGCACCCATAAGAAAATGGAGAAACAAACCTTAATCATAATGCAAGCCGGGAATAAACTGCTAATGTTTTTTCCGATTTACACAAGTGATAAGACTTACAAAAGCCCTTAAATTTGGTTAGTCAAGCAATTGAACAGGATGAACAAACCCAAACATAAATTTAGCATCGGCCGAATTCTTCTTATGATCTCATCTTAAGTATTACGTTCAGTATCTTGAGCGTCTCCTTGACCTGCAACATCGGCGTTCTATTAAATTAAGCCAACCAAAGAGATAATCTCTAATCAACAATGGCAAGATGCACAAACCTTGGGGATTGAGAGCGGGAGTGAGAACGAGAGCTAGCGTAAGAACGGGATGGTGAACGTGAATGGGAGCGGGATCGGGACCTAGAGCCATGCCTTCGAGATCCCCTACTTCTACTCCGACTTCTACTTCTCCGATACCTTCTGCAGGAACGTAACGACGTATATCAAAAAAGATGCATATTAATACACATGGCAAATACATCAAAGTGTCACTAATAAAAATGAAGCTGGCTGCACCTCAGTATCAATTATCATACCAAATCGTTAAGAAATATACTTAGATTAGTTGAACAAAAAAACTCCTCGCAAGAAATCACACTGAAATATGAATTTCAGGGTGTGATACATTGCGAAAACTGATATCAGTTACTTTGTCACAGTAGAATGAGAACAACACAAAGGCAGAAGAAACTGTATCAAGTTGCTCGAAAGAGAACCAAACTATAATTCCGTGGAAAAAAACTTGGTACACGACGCCATCAAAGCTACCACCAGATGGGTTATAAAAGAACAGGCCTGCTCATCTCTAATCCCAAATGGAAGATGGAAAAATAAATGAAACGCCTGAATAGCTGAACACTCTTGGTAATCTAGCCATTCATTACCTTGGAGGAGAACGACTATAGCTCCGACTACGGCTGCGAAAACGATGCCGAGCAACACGACTTGTTTCGGCAAGTTTTTCCAGCCTCTGCCTTTCCTGTTCTCGCTTCTTGGCCATTTCAACGGCAGTGTCTTTTTTTACTGCAAAAAGAAATGAGTGAGTTCCAGGAAGTACATAGAATGCAAACACCAAAGTGCTGTCTGGTAAATGAGCAGGATGACAAGACTCTACTTTGCTTGTTTAATTGTTTGCTCATTATCCGCTTGAGGCGCTCTTGTGGAGTCTCCTTCTTCTCCCCAGGCTGCTTAGGGAGCCCTCCGCTACTTGTTACCTTGCTTAATTTCGCCAATGCAGAGGATGTGCTGCTAAAGAAGCAAATTTATTGTCATAAAACATTATCTTGCCACAAAAATAAATGTAATACTTACATAACTTATAAGCAAAATGACTGATTTCCGTGAAAATTTTCTAAGATACCTTGTAGGAGTTTTCAACAGTTTTGTATTGTGTTCCTTTTCAATGGATACGCCAGATGCAGGATCCACATGAAGGGCCTCAAGTATCCGACCGGATGATGGCCTGCAGAAAATAAACAGCATGAGAAGAACACTTTTAAACCACCTAACAATTGGGGTACCATTTTACAAAGGCAAATCAGGAAAAATTCACTGCACAAAGAAGTTTCCTTCTCTCCCTGTTTGATGTTACGCTCTGATACCCTAATATGAACTATTTTAAACCACAGAGTTTGGTTGAGGTAACAAAATGGACGATAAGCAGCAGCAGAGAAAAGACTGTCCAATCTATCTTTGCAATTATAAAAGGTCGAGTGCTCCGACCGGCTTAAGGCATCAGCTTGGGATGGAGGAGACGGTGGTGGAGAGTATCCTGAGAATTTTGGTTCATCACCATCAGACCCTCCAAACTCAGTGATATACTCTATCTTAGGAGCTCTATCTTTACTCCGATGAGCGTCATCACCACGAGCATGGCGTCTAGGGTGTGAAGGTGAATAAGACCTGGATCTTGATCTTGACCTGCCAACATTGCATGCCATCAGAAATGATCCATCCATTCACATCATCCTTAAACATTATAATAAAAAAACAAAAGACACAATCCATAGAGATCAACATACCGCCTAGACCGAGAATAGGCTTCATATGTAGGGCTCCTCCTTGACTCACTGTAAAGTTTATAGAAGAGAGAAACAGTATCCATGCATAAGAGTTCCACTTCATATCTCCTTCATAAGAGAGATTAATTTAGTACATGGAAGAAAACAAATCTGGGAGCTCACCGGTAAGGGTCGGTGTGAACAACTCGAGTACCAATCATGCGAGAAGCTTCTCTTTCTCTCTCTCTTTCCATCTGAGAAACTTTTCTTCTTTCCTTGCGACTTAACTTCCTCTGAAATATGGAAATATCCAGCTATCATCAGTAACATAGCTTCGCATTTCAACTCACAAATGACATCCAAACCTATTGGCAGACTTACAATTGCAGGATCTCCCTTAATAACTTCTTTTTGTCTTTTTTCTTCTTCTTTGGCTTTTTTATCCATGTACACAAGCCATCCATAACGCTTCACTCCAAACTCCTTAGCAATTGACTCCATCCCTTCATCATTGCTGTCGTCACTGTTAAACTCTTCTTCTTCATCATCCTCATCTTCGTCCTCATCCTCACCAGAATCATGTGTATCCTCTTTCCCATCTCCATCATATGAGAAACCAACTTGGGAATATGCTCCCTTGCTCGCCACTGGCTGAGGAATATGAGACCTACAACATTTGCATAAGCATCCAACATGTCAAAATAACTAAGTGGAAATTGGAAAATAAACCAAAATATGCAACATGTAATTACCTAATTGCATGCTTAAACTAGACAAACAAGGATACTAAATACATGTGCAAAGTGCAAACACCAACACATTTCAATTAACCCGAGGACCAAGCCATGCATCATCACTTAAAGGCACAGCTCAGGCCCCAGAGAATCTTCAGCACCCAAAACAAAATAAATTGAACAGCAAAAGTATTCAAACCTGTCTGATCCAAATGGGGTGATCTTCGCCTCAAGCTCTTGATCAACATGATGCAAACCTTGCTCATCAGTAACTGTCGACATGTAAAGTTAGTAGAAGAATTTTATCCTGCAGCGTGTTCTCATTACATACTGTACACAATATTAAGAAGAGCGAAATGTCATAGTTATTTCAGTTTCCACATGGAAAGGGGTTAAAGCAATAAACAATCGACAAAATGACCAATCAAGGGATAATATAAGGTAGGATTTATACACATAAAAAATTCAACAGATGATAAAAATTCAAAAAAGTACCGACATCCTCTACGGCGATGCTTAATTAAATCCCGATAACGCTCAAAATTTACAAACTCTTCTAGTTCTTCTTCCTCCTCAGACTTCTCAGGAACCCGAAAATGTCGAGTATCTCGAATAAAGTCAAGCAAAGCACGACCATCGAATCTATAATAGTGAAGCAAGTAAGTCACAAAAGCGGGTTATTCATTCCTCCTTGCTAATGAAATTAGCTTCACCCATTATAAAAGACAACTCAAAAAGAAAAAAATATTAAAAAGAATCAAGTACCTGTCAATCAAGATATCCTGTTTCCCATTCCATGGAATCCTGGTCAGGCAAAACAGATTTCAGCTTCGTATCATATTGTTCAAGAAACTAATAAGCCATCATCGAGCTAAAAATACTTTAGCACAAGAACATTTACAAAGAAGCAGCTATTAAAAGGAGATGAACTACAGGAATTTAGAAATCATCCAACATAACGCAGCTAAATAATTAAAATGCATTCTATCATCCAACACTATGCAACTAAATCACTGAAGTGTCCGAGTTCTACAGCAAAAATAACGAGGAAGAGAAAATGCAAACAATGTTTTCACCCATTCTATATTAACCACACACATCGTAACTAGCAACTCTATCCCAATACATGAGTAAAACTTCCCCACCGAATTAAAAACTATTATCAATTTTAATAAAAATACTCAAAGCGACAGCTCGACCTCCAAAAGATAAAGATAAACTGGATAGTGAATTTTAAAAAAGGACAGAAAAAATTTAGAATGAAGAAAATAGAACTCATACATGCCCTGCTGATCCTGGGTGGCATGGTAGAGCGCATCATCACGGTAAATACGACAACGAGACCCAACAGCTTGGATGGACTGCTGAGGATCGCCGCGCCTCTTAGCCAGATAGACGGCGCGTCTCTGAGCTCGCTTCCGAGCCGCGTCCATCATGTCGTGGACTTTCTTCTCCGACCTCCTCGCTTCGTGCCACATATCTACCGACCCAATCAATTAACCTGGTTGAATTCAAATCCAGCTCCGATCACTGATTTCAATCACGCTTATTTCTCGATTGTTATTGGAACTGAAAACCCTAATGCCCACGTCTCATTGAAGGAGGAATTCTGTAGAACCGGGCGGTTGTTCTGATGATAAAGATGTAAATAACTGCTAGAGTCGATGGGAGTGGGCGGTTACAGAACAAATCAACTGATGATGTCAACGACCGGGTTTGATTTGAATATGGCGCCCCAGCCCAACCATGTATAGAGCCCATTATCCGTTATTTGGCTATGAGGCTATGACTATGGAATGGTGTTACAAAAGTTGGCCAACTCAGCCCAAAATACTAATGCAAATGGCAATTTTTACGGGCCCCTTTGACTCGTGGACTCCAAACAAATGAATACTACTATATTTCATCGTCCCATCATAATGTTCCGGTTTTATGATTAAGTTTTAGTATTTGAAAGTTTGAAACTATGAGATCTATGTACATATTTTTTTAAATTTTATATTGTAGGGTGTCCACCGTCGACAACAGTATCTAACCCCTCTCGTTTATGGTAAACACTTCGATGGGGAGAGAGAGCTAGGCAAAAGATTTAAGATTGCTCCATCAATGTCATTTACACTTATTTGGATCCAGTAATTGGGAAGCAAAATATGGATCCAATCAATGTCATTTACACTTATTTGGATCCAATCAATGTCAAATATGTTTATCTACATTATATGAGGAAATAATATTAGATCTATAGGAATTTATTGGAGAAGTGCATCTGCCACATGGAGTTCCTTGATACGTAGGCTAAGATCAAGGTTGACCACCTATCAAGAAAGAATCAAAAGATACAAAATGATATAACTTGGGAGATGAACCTAGATCTAGCTTGTAAGAAACATATAGTGAGCAGTTGTTTTTGTTGTTTTCGTACAAACAACAATAGGTTGCGCCGGCAATCATGAATCCAGATAACTTAATAATTGATTACTTAATTGGTTTGATAATCAGCGGACACTGACAGTTTCTCTAGAATTGCTAATACTACCAATTTGCGTATTAAAAAAAAGGCACCTGGTCCTGCGTAACTGATGAATGCGGCACTATGAGCTGACCCTTAGCCGCTACAAAGGATTCGTTTTTATTTTCTAAGTACACATTACAAACAACTTAAAATAATCGGGCAATTATTGGACAGGAGCCTAGATTGCACTATTTGGAATATTCCAAGTATCCCTACTTTCCTCCTAAATTTTTGCTCCTTTTCTTTTTGTGGTATGATCTTTTTTTCATATAGTTTTTAGTATAATTCCATCCAATGACAAATTATTTTCATTTCTGTTGTTAAACTTGGTCAATCCAATAGCTGGTTTCAACCATTATGTCCGGTCTAAATAATACTACTTTTATTTTGAGATAAGAAAAAATATGTGTTACTGTTTGTGTTTGATCGGTTTATAACTCTAACTTTTAGAAAATATGAAAAAGGGATTTGTATTTTTTAGTATTATAAGTGGTTCGTTTGATCATTTGATTGGGTGTCCAATTTCCATTAACTTGATAAGTACATGTAACGCCTCAAAAACTTTGATTATACATATTTTTATGGTCCGTCCCTACCTGCTTTTTAGATATTTTACACCTCTGACAATAATTTATACAAGCATACTATAACCTCAATTACTCCCAATTAATATTCGTAAGAAATGAATGTAATGACTTTTAGCATGCGTCATCATCAAGAAGAAAGTGTTTTATATATGTCGGTTTGAGTAAATACTCCTTCAGTCAAGATTTTTATTTTTATTACAAATTATATTAAACATATAAATTATATTGTTATCTTGAGACATAAAGAATAATATCTGTTGTAATATCATAGTTTCTTGTCTGGTCATAAATACTCAATGTTAGCAAATTACACAAATTAATTTGACGAGTTGTTTTGCAATATATTAATAATGATGATGATTTGAGTATTTCAATTCAAGAAAAACATTTTACGCTCATCTCAAACACTTTCTGCTCGTCCCCAACGAACTTAACCCATTAGGTTTAATGGGTATGAATAAGTTATGCTAGGTTAAAATCTTTTACAGTATCATCATGTAATAAATCAAGGTCATATTAGAAAAATACAAATTTGTAACTCCAGAGACGCATTAGTTCTACTTCCATGTCAAACAGTTTGGCATCGAAATGATGAAAAGATTCATATATCTTACCAAGAGAAAAAAAAAACTGTTATTTAACAAATATAACTACTTTTGTTATAACGGGGTGCTGTCATTAATTGTTTGAGTTGTACAGACTACAAATTACAAAGGGCGTGGAATTTTTTAAAAATACTTATTACGAAAATAAATTTTACAAGTCAGGCTGTTTAAAAATACCCTTTTACCGCCAGGCTAAAGAAAAGAAGAAAAAAAAAAGATTTTTTTTTTTAAAAAAAAATAAAAGACAGATCACACCAACGAATGCTTAGCGTACAGATCCCACCTCTCTGTATTCTTTAATCTCAACCCTACAAAAAAAATAAAGGGAAAAAAAAAAAGACTATAAACAAACCACTCAGCTCAAATCTACCCTCTTAATTAAACAAAATCAGCCCCTCGAGCCATCGAGCTCCCCGCCCACCTCCTCCCCCTCCCCTACTCCCCGCCCTTGGGGTTGGGCGGCGAGACACGCCACCACTACGATTCCTAATGTCGGAACTCTCTGAATCCACCGATTTTCAGCAGCTGCCGGAGTCTGAGTTCCCGGAGAATCTGACTCTGCCTCCACCCCTGCCCAAGTCTGAGGCTATGCTAGCTGCCAATTCTCTGTTCAAACAGAAATCTTGGTCTCCTGATACCTACCGTGAGGAGGCTTGGCAGCGGAGGAGGGGAATCGAGCGCCGAAAGCGGCGGAGCAAGAGCGTGACCGACGAAGACGTTGAGGAACTCAAAGCTTGTATTGAATTGGGTTTTGGATTTGACTCCCCGGAGATGGATAAACGTTTGTCTGATACTTTCCCGGCTTATGGACTCTACTATGCCGTCAACAAACATTACACCGACACCGTTTTGAGGCCTTCCGCTTCCGGCGTGGCTTCTCCTTTATCATCCGCCGTCTCCGACAGTGGTACCCCTTCCCCTCTTGGCAGTCCTCTCACCATATTTGGGCCAGGTAATTGATTTCCCCCTTTTTCAAATTAGTATTCATCGGGATTCTTTGTCTTGTTTAACTTGTTGTGGTTAAGGACTTCGTGATTGTCAAATCATTATCATTTTCATAGTCATTTCATTTTCGATCCATAGAAAGGTCTTTTATTTATTGATTTATTTAGCTTTAAATTCCAGAACCGTCGGTTGTAAGTTTTGGATGATAATCTTATAGTGGAAATACAATATGCAGGTGAAAATCCACAAACGGTGAAGACTAAATTGAGGCAATGGGCACAAGTGGTGGCTTGTACGGTTCGTCAATCATCAACCAGAACCTAATTTTGTCGATGAAAAATTGCTGATGATTTTAGAGATTGTTTTTGGTTGTTTCATCTGGGAGCAAAAACACAAAAAGGAAACAACAGTTAGTTGAAACCAGTTACCAAATTCCAACAAATTTGGTAAAAGCCATGATGATAGCTGCATTGTATGATTTGTATCAATAGCATGATATAATTGCCCCAACTCCACCGACTTTTCATTAGTTGCCAGCATGCTTGGTGATTTTGTTTTTGTGTATAATACGCCCACCTCTCACCTCACCTCACCTAATAGGAAAAGGAAACAGATATATCTTGTGCAATTGACTTTAGTTACTGTTGTTGTTTGGTATCAATGATTGCTGTTGTTGGATCTGTATTACGTTGTTTATTTTTCGGTTCTCTGCTTTATTCCCCCTTTTTTCCCCCCACTTGGTTTAAGGTTTTTACGAGGTATCGTACCTGGTTATGATGAATGACATGGGAGAATTGGAGAAAGAAACAAAAGGTTGTTCCTTTATTTGGTTCGACATATTCTTTGTTTGTTGATGATGCTGCTCCAATGCAATGCCTCCCTTTAATGTCTCTGACATCTGTACATCTATCTTATCTTTGCAAAGAGCTTTTAATTCCGTCGTTGTGGTGCCAACAACTTTGTACAAGTTTTCATTCTTCCGTTCACATTATATTGGTTTTGAAATTCCTTTTCTTCTGACAAAATGGAAAGATTGAAAGTGGAATTTGCCTAAAAGTTCCATACCTAGGAGGCTAGGAACAGGATCAAGTTGTGTGAATGCTTCGGTGAAAAGGGGTGTTGTATCTGATAAAAGTAGTGGGTTTGGTTTGGGTGGATATGAAGAAAATCAATGTCTTGTCAGGCTCTGGAAGTTTGCCTCTTCCGGAGTATTCTGAACAATGCTGCAGATTGCCAGACGCCATTTATATACACTGCTCACTGCACAGTCAATGAAGTGCTGGAAATGAACTCATATTCCAAAGAATACTGCAGTGTCATAACTCCTCGGGCTGCTTCAAATTCTAGAGGCAAGATGCAATGCATCGAACAATTATTTCAAAACAGAAAAATTATACATAAAAGCAATCCATGAAACTCAATTAAAAAGAAAAAAAGAAGTAGACTAAGATTAAAAAGGAAAAGTTCATGCGCCAACAGAGTAGTCTCTAGTTTGCTAACCTTTCGGCCCGGGTGGGATGAAAAATCGATTGCGGCGTGAAAGTGCTTAAAATTCAACAAGCTCGAGAAATTTTTTAGCCCTTCTACAGTAAAGACAAAGCTCACAAGCATTGGCAGTGTCCATGGGTGGCATCCGATTGTGTGATGTTTGATCCAGTTTCTTGTCTTGTCTGGGCTTGTTTCTGCCTTAAGACAATACCACCAAGTTGCTCACCCCTGCATCATACCATAACACAACCATAAACGACATAACATTTGGGGGCAAATCAGCTATGGATTTTAGCTTTCAAACAGTAGATATATCAATTATGAAATCCAACTGGCATCGGATTATTAGCATTTTTCCTGAACCACTTATTACTTCTTTGGGGGGTGGGGGTCTGAAAGCGAATTATTTCAATAGTATAGCCCTGGTTGTCCTCGTGCAGTTTTCTTGTCTTTTGAGATGGTAAGCAGTTGATTCCTATATTTTTTACTGAAGTGCACTTTTTACCACCTGACCCACTTTACCTAAGAGTACCAATGAGAAGACAACCCATTCATACCTCAAATAGTTAAATTCCACTTACCTCGGCATCATTCAACTTTAGCCAGCTACGTATGCAGTATGCAACCACCCCAAGAATGATTGCTGGTCGATTTCATCATATACTATATACTTCATGGGATGCGTTAGTTTGGTCCAACGTTGTACGCTCGTGTCTTGTGTTACAATTCTATTATTATTATTACTCCCTACTCACAGTTAGTCGACATTACTACTTACTCTGTTAAGGGTATAAAAAGCTTTCTTTAGTCCAGAATGCTGACATTTTTATGTTATTTCCTGTCCGGGAATAGTTTTTCGTCTTTCACAAAATTTATCATGTAAATTAAGAGACAAGAGTAACAATTAATCGCACCATGTACACGCAAGTTAAAATATACTACATTCGTCCCGAAATTATTGTTAAATTTGAATTTTCACTTTTAATTCAATTGTACTAGAAACGAAAATCCAAACTATGCAATAATTTTGAGACGGAGGAATTACAAATTTGTGTCAAATACAACACAGACAAATCTGTTTTTCTTGATTTGTTTTGAATGAAAACGTGTATAAACATGTCATTTCCCAAATTAGATGGATCGGTCTTCATTCCTTGTAATTTTAGCGGCATTGATGGCAATATTATACTTGGTGATACTGAGATTTTAGAAATTATTGCTCCGGGTTGGAGGAGGATGGAAAAAATATCTCATTGCATTGAATATAGCCATAAGCTAAAATGATGAATGAAGGACGATTGATGGAACAGGACTGCATTTTTCAGTAGGAAAAACAGTCTTGCGAATCAAATGGAAACAATCAAGGGACCGGTGGGAAGACTTTTCGTAAACAAGTTGACTTGGTTAATGCTGTTGACTTTCGATGACTTAACACTAATCTAGAAGGTTCCAACTGGGGTTTTCTCCTGCTCTCCGCTCCTTATTATTACCAATTTAATTTGTTCTAAATTTGATTTATTGTATTTTTTAATTAAAAAAAATATTAAAAATGCCAATAATAATTGAAAGAAGACGGTAAGTGAAAATACTATTTTAAATTTTTATTTTTAATTCGAAAAATATAATAAATGAACTTAGAACAAATCAAAATTTATTATAATAAACAATAGTGAGAAAGCGTTTCTCTTTTTTTTTTTTTGGGGGGCTGGTGGGAGGGTTTAATACACGTCAATAGATCATCTTATGTGTTTGAATCCAAAACATATCTAATCTAAAAGATTTATTCTTATACTTGTTCCTTATCAATATCATCAAAAGTTTTATTTTGAAGATCACCAGCGCAGGTCAGGAACTATGGCTACTTGCATAGTAAAGCAGGTACTCACATCAATGCCGAAAAGCCAAAACCGGTTTAAGTTTACATGTCTAAAATTTTTTTACTCGATGAGAAAGATTAATCAAAGTCCCGCAAAATATCAACTTCCAGAAGACCGCACTTCAGCAGTAGAGCTGACATTGTAGCTCATAAAATTTATAAAAATTTCTGTCTAAAAGAATAACATATTCTTTCTGATTTTATTATAAGACATTTTGATTTGTTCTAAATTTTTTTTACTGTATTCTCTTGATTATAAAATGAAATTTTAAAAATACTCTATAGGAACCGACGCCTGACTCGATAAAATTAAATTATCATCAGCGATGATTTTTTTTCTTTGATAAAACTTCTCGCAATTCTCATCTCTGGTTGAAATTTTTTAGCAGAATTTAAAAAATACCTCCTTTTACTGAAGAATATGAACCTTACTGATCATGAGGGATTATATGGAACAAGGCCGAAATTCTCCAGGCTAAAGAGGAAAGTAATGGAAACTGGAAAGAAAATTAAGGGGCGGGAAGGAGGACTTCGTAAGTTGACTTGGCTAAAGGAAAATAGACAGTACACTCGTTGTCAAGGATGGTGCATGACTAACGACTTAGACAAATAAACAGCGCTTCTTTCTCGACCTTGTTTATTTATATGTAGTGTTTATTTATTTATTGGTTCACTTCTTTAATTTTCTTTGATTGGTTAGTTTCGAATTAGAAGAACTGAACTAGGTACACAATAACCAAATGCATATCTATTACCTTCTTCAATGACATTAAGCAACTTAATGGCTTAATGCCGCATATTTGATGTACTTCTTCCATCTCATGAAATAATTTACATTGCAGTTTTCAAATTGTACTTCTTTGTCTCAAAATTATTTTTTACTTTGAAATTTTCACTTTTAGTATTTATACTAAAATTAAAAATTCAAACTGGACAATAGTTTTGGGACGATTGAATCCTATAAATAATATGAAACATAAATTGTAACATTTTGGACCATTTTTTTTTTTTTTTGGAGATGGAATGAACAATCTATCTATAGTATATACTAAAAGAGAAACCAGAGAGAGAAAACAAAAATATGTTTCTAGAGTGCCAAGTAAGCAAAAATCCTACATGGCATTTTTATAGAAAATGTCAAAAAAAAGTTTATGCAATTACACTACAAGTCCTTGGGATTTTATGTAAATAATTTTTTTACACTTAATGGATGGTAAAAATTGTTTAAAACCATTAATAATTAATATTAATAAGTAATTAATGTCATGAATTGAATGAAAGAAATTTGAAGAAAAAATATGGGATAATTTGCCATGATTTTTGAAAGTAATTATTCCCCGTCCAAAAAAAAAAAACATATTGCCTAATTTTTTGAAAACAAATCAATCAACATTAAATAATAAGATATGTTGTGGAGTGGAAATAGGCAAATTTTGATGAACTATATGGGATAGTTTCATAAAATTTCCGAAGATAATTCCGGAATTAAATTTTTATCATCGAAAAAAATATAATCTCTAATTTTGTTTAAAACAAATCAATCAATATTAAATAATAAGACATATCGTGAAGTGAAAATTACCATTCTATATTATAATAATTGCTGATTGGTAATGACCGAGAAAATTAATGCTATGTGATATCCTCGTAATATAAATTAATACTAAAGGAAAACTAATACACATTCTTGAATAGTTATTTATTTGAAACTGAAATCAATTTAGATGATATATGACATCTCTAAAATTTATAAATATTACCCGAGAAAAGAAAATCAACCTAAATAAGCCCTATAAATGAAAACATACAACATTGGTGAATTATGCTTTTATTTATGCGGTTTAGGTTATTTTTTTAAATTCATTTTATCATGCATTTTATTAAAGAGAGAGAGAGACCTTAGTGTAATTATCAACAAGCTTTTGAATTTTATACAAAATTCTAACCACAACTTCCGGAT